TGCTGATCTAGCAGTAGCCTGCAGTGCTGCATTTAACCACTGCGCCACCTTGGCTCATTAGATCTCATTCTGGATCTAATCTCACAAATTAAAAATGAAAACGGCCTGCTTTAATTTACTTTACTTTACTTTACTTTATTGTCATTGCACCTCGTACAACAAAATTAAATGCCATCTTCAATGGACATTATAACTACAAAAATAAAACAAACACACATCCTAGACGTTTTATACAATTGAATTGAAAAGCCCCTGATATTGCATTAATATTGCACTATGCAGTAGAATTCAATGTAGTTACTGCCCTGGGACAGAAACTGTTTTTCAGCCTATTTGTCCTTATTTTTATTGCCCTGTACCGTCTGCCAGATGGTAATAGATCAAAAAAATAAAAAAGGCTGCCTGGGATGATATGGATCTTGAAGAATGTTTTGAACTTTCTTAAGGCAGCGGGAGCTAGAAAGCTCTTCCAAAGAGGGGAGAGGACAACCAATGATCCTCTGGGCAATGACGTTGACCCTCTGGAGCGCTGTCCTATCTGCCACTGTGCAATTGGCAAACCGTACACAGGGCTAGTAAGTTAAAATACTCTCTATGGTGCAGCGGTAAAAGGTCACCAGCAGTTTTTCATTCTGTTGTTGTTTCCTGGGAACGTCTCAGGTAGTATAATCTCTGCTGGGCCCTTTCGACCAGTGTTGTAATGTGAGCACCCCAGGTTAGCCTGGAGGGATACACACACACACACACACACACACACACACACACACACTCTATTTGGAACCCAAGGAAAAGTGCAGTGAAGCCTTTTTGGTCATTAAAGCAGCCGTGTCGTCTCCCAAGCTCACCAGAAGAAAATGCGGTTGCTTTAGCCATTTGAAGAGAATTGCTTTAAAAAGTGTTTCAAGGACCTCTTTGGATTTGCACAGCCTTAGTCAACAGGATTCTGGGTGTTACTCTTTATAGTGAAAGAGGTGACATAATTTGCAGTCAATCTGACTAGCTCAGCCTTCCTTAACTGGCATGTAGTTTTGACTGTGTTCTTAAGAGCACTGGAAAACCTAGGAGATAAAATTGGACTAAAAGTCTCTCTTTGCAGGGATAGGGACTCCAATGCTCTGTGTCTTACAAACCCAACTCACTTCACAGGGTCGTCGTTATGGGGAAAATAGGAGGAGGAATATATTCACTACCTTGAGTTGTTTATAAAAATCATCCTGCAGGTAGGGTTTGATACATAAATAAAACTAAAATTGTATTTTGATAAGGGCTTTGGTAACATTTTCCACAATTTGAGCATTAGTTCTTCCTTGTCATGCGGCAAACAGTGCCTTGCATCCTATTTGAATACAGTGGCACCTTGGTACTCCACTGGTTTGAAACTCATCAAATTTGGTACTTAATGTATTTTGATATTAAAACTTTGTCCCGGTACTTATTGTTTGTTTGGTACTCAACGCACAAGCTACAACTTGTCGGGTTCCACCACAAAACCGCGTTCGACTAAAGCGCGCTCGACGAAACCGCGTAGCTGATGTCATCACAGCGCGACGAAAAAAGCACGCTGTAAACGCTAAAGCTAAAATTAACCCCTAAACCTAACCCTAACCCTAAACTTAACCCTAAACCTAACCCTAAAACTAACGCTAAACCTAACACTAAACCTAACACTAACCCTTAACCTAACCCTAAACCTAACCCTAGCCCTTAACGCTAAACCTAACACTAAACCTAACACTAACCCTTAACCTAACCCT